GCATGTCTGAAAGAAGAAAAGAAAGTTGGAAGAAAAAAACAACAAAAATAGTAAGTCAACCAATAAATACTGTGTGTATTCCTCTCTGAAAATGGATATTGTAAAGAGAAGCGAGAACGCCTATGGAAGTGTCTCATATAGCATCTTGGAAAACTTATCAAAATAGCAGGTCTATTGAAAAAGATAAGGACCACACAAATCCCTAACAATGCTCCCGGCCATCTTCTTTTCCTGCATAATTCTCCACTTCTGCTCTATCTCAAAGTGGAACCTTCCATCCGCCACTCTCTCAGCTCCATCCTTTTCTCAGAGATGCCATAAATTCTTCTTCCCACTGAGTTCTCTTGTGAGCTCACACATCATCCCAGACTCATGGGACACACCGAGGTATGTGCAGTGAGCTGCACACTCTATTTCCTCCCTAAAGTCTCGAGTCTTTTTCCTCGGGGCATAAATAGGAGCCCTGGGCAAAGAGCATCAGGAATCCCTGCCCATGCATAGGGAAAAGACCCCTCCTATGTAATTGGATGTTAAAAAAGAAAATCTCTTTAAGTCGGACACAGGATTTTGGCTGAAGTTCAGCCACATACCTAGTCTAAGCTGAATTTGGGTATAGCCCTAATAATTACAGTTACTCTTTAGAGAAACAGCCCAAGAGGTTTACCTGGAGATTCGTTCCAGATGTAAGCAGGTATGTGAGGAGGTTGGTAATGAAGATGTAAACCGGATGAGGCCATTTTGTGCCCCACAGCCTTCTCTGCAATCGCTCCAATGCTAGGAGATGTTCCACAGCCATCTAACAAACACCAGATGCCTGGCCAGCCGCGCAGGCTGGAGTGTTAAGGGGAAGGGGGGTAGAACCCCAAATCTGGATGCCTTCGCAGTTATCAATCTGTTACAAATTGTAATCAAACAGAGACAATTCTCTTTAGCCCATCGTTCCTGGGACAGACCTTTGTGTGTCCCACGCTCACAAGCTGTTTCTCTCTCATGGCAGAATTGAGATTGATCTAGTGACACTGGTAAGGATACCCACCCTCACTCCATCACCAGGAAAGATTACTGGACCAACTGTCACAGACACCAAATGTTTTGGTCATATGTATTTCCAGCATCACCTCTATTCTTCCTCTTTTCCATTTAAACTAATATGTGTCTTATGGTTTCCTGTAGCAATCAGAATTACAAGACATATTCAAGATACCCCTGGGGCAGGGGACACAGTATTTACTACCGAAGTACAAAACTGCAATGTACTTTATGAGCTTCCTCTGAAATAACTGTCACAACACAGGATATGTTTAGAAGGAAAAAGTTTTCATATAACTTGTGATAAATATACGGTATAAAATTTCTATCCTTGGGTCAGGTCTACCAACAACGGCACTAAGAATAATTAGTAAATTACATTGGAGCATGGTGTAGGGGACAGCCTTTGAGGTCGCATGAACTTGAGCTCCATTTATGACTGGTCATGTATTATTATGAGTGATGTATCTTGGCCATATATTATTATGAGTGATGTAATGTATCTTGTTTTGAGATTTAGTGGAACAACTTTAAGAGGACCACACATTTCCTATTGGAGGTAATGAAGCAAATAATTGACATAAAGATTATTTACTGTATGGTACCGTTAAGGTGAGAATATACCGCTATGTTGACACTGAAATTCATAGGACAAACACCTCAAGCAGCCCCTTCTCACCCTTAGCAAGTCTGCTGAGCTTTGTAAGACGTGGAAGCTCACATTTCTGTATCCTCACCCTGTTGTGAGTGCTGAAGTGAACCCTAACAATTAGACACTTCTTGACTTGCCGTCTGCTTTCTCAAACTTGTGTTTGCCGGGAGTATCATGACAGACACAGCAGGAGAGGACTTGGAAACCTTCAAATAACAGAGACCCCACAGGTTCCACAATCTGACATCGTTATTGTCTTTAATTAGATGAAAAGTCTAGAAAACCGCATGTGGGGTAAGGTTCTGACTTGGCGTCTATGCTGGTGAGTTTTATATGTCAATCTGACATGAACTAGAGTCATTTGGGAAGAGAGATTGAGAAAATGCCTCCATGAGATTGGCCTGTGAGCAAGTCTGGGATGTATTTTCTTAATTAGTGGGTGATGTTAATTAGTGAGTGCTGTGACAGCCCATGGCTGGTGGTCTCACTCCTAGACAGGTGGTCCTGGGGTATATGAGAAAATAGGTTGAGCAAGCCAGTAAGCAATATTCTGCCATGGCCTCTGTCTGCATCAGTTCCCGCCTCCAGGTCCTGCCCTGACTCACTCCCATGACAGACTGCAATGCAGAAGTCTAAGAGAAACAAACCCTTTCCTCTCCAAGTTGCTTTTCATCATGGTGTTTTATCACAGCAGTAGAATCCCTAATTAAACTCACAATTCTCAGGTCTCTGTGACTTTTACCCATAATTATTCCAGAAGATTTCATGGTCACATGATAACCGTTCTGATATTTGGGGTTCGGAGGCCTCAGAGCTGCCTGGTGCAGGACTGGTAGTTATCACCAAACTGATCTCTCTCAAGGTTGGCCTAGAACAAGACTAGCCTCTGAATGGGGAAGGGCAGAGTTCATGTCAGAATATTCTTTGGTAGCAAATGGCACTTCTTCAAGCTCCATGCCAAAATGATGAAATATCAATCAGTTCTGACCAACACAAGAAGCAACGGCTAGGATCGGCACCAGATACCTTTGAGACTGTCCCATGGGTAGCTTGTAAATTTACCCTGCAAGGGACACTAGTTGTCTTAGTTATGGCTTCTATTGCTGTGAAGAAACACCATGACCATGTAAGGAACACATTTAATTGGGGTGGCTCACTTACAGTTTCAGAGGTCCAGTCCATTACCATCATGGTGGGGAACATGGAGTCGTGCAGGCAGATGTGGTGCTGGAGCTGAGAGTCCATCATCTTACAGGCAACAGGAAATTGACTGAGACCTTGGGTGGTATCCTAAACATAGGAAACCTCAAAGTACACCCCAGGATTTACATACTTCCTCCAACAAGGCCTCACCCACTCCAACAAAGCCAGATCTCCTAATAGTGCCACTCCATATGAGATTCTGGGGATCAATTACATTCAAACTACCCCACTAATATTGTCTAGAAGTCATTTTATTACTAAACTATGGAAAATGTTAAGTGTCTACATATGATGTTTGAAGAAGAATGGCCCATAGGCTCATATATTTGAATATCTGTTTCCCAGTTGGTGGACCAATTAGGAAGGATTAGGAGGTGTGTCCTTGTTGGAGGAGGTGTGTCACTGCAGGTGGATTTTGAGGCTTAAAAAGCCCTTGCCATGCCACCCCCCAATCTGCCTGTGGACCAGGATGTAAATATGCATCTCCTGCTCTGACAACATGTCTGCCTGCCTCACTGAGCATGGTCTAAACCTCTGAAAGTGTAAGCCAGCCCCCAATTAAATGTTTTCTTTTAGGGTTGGAGATTTATCTCAGTGGTAGAGCACCTGCCTAACAAGCATAGGCTCTGGGTTCGATCCTAAGCTCTGAGGAAAAAAATAAAAAAAGAAACTTTAATAAGCTGCCTTGGTCCTGTTCATCACAGCAACAGAACAGTAACTAAGACTATATATGTGTATATATGTTATTTATACGTATACATACATACATACACATATACGTGTGTGTGTGTGTATGGTAGACATAGTACATAGTACCTTTGTAGGACTCTCAGTGGTGTTGGTACAGGAAGAACGGGGTGGGAAGACCATGTATGGATAAATGCACTGAGGTTTGTCATCTCACTCATAAAAGTTACTGAACTGAACCCTGCTGTAATAGCCTGTGGTTCTAGAAAGGCCCTGCTGTGCTCCACTGAGCTCCCAGTTTCAGCCCAGGGATGCAAGCAGGATATCAAAAACCACAGCTAGCTGGTAGAGACAGGTGAGGGACAATGAAGGAAGAAAGCATGGAGGCTGGGCCACACCTTAACTCCTTTGCTATAGGACAAGAACTGGTTGTTTTTGAAGAGTAGATACAGATGTTCTTCAAAAGGAATGTGTACATGGACGTTTGCTCAGTAGAGGTGTTGGGCAATGGTTTTCCAGAGTCAAGGCCAGAATCACATGCAGGATTACTAAAGCATTCTGGCTAAAGTCCCAACTCAGAGGTTTTGATGCTGCAAGTGTGGATGAGGCAAGAGTATCTGCATTTCTAGTGAGTTCCCAGGTGAGCCAGATGCTGATGGAGGCGGTGCTGTAGGAGATTCCCTGCATGAAACTGCTGGTCAGTGTTTAGGATCCCAGGGATATGACTTGGAGAACTGACTGAACAGAGTGTCTCCAGTAGCCCAGCCTTTCCTCTCTCAAATAAATAGGCCAATAAAACAATTAGCAAAAATACACAAACATTTCAACTGTATGTAATATTATATCAAAACCTATCTGTAGATAAGTTCTTATTTATTTTGGTTCTCAGAGGCAGAGTCTCACATTGTAGCCCGGGTTACACTGGAATGCACTAGGGAGTCCATAATGACCTACCTCAAACTCACAGTGATCCTCCTGCCTCAGTGTCCTAAATTCTGGGATTACAGAATGCACCACTATTGCCCCATTTGTAGAGACGATTTTTAAAGGTAACAATTAATCCGTGAGCAGTGGGGACCTCTGGACTTCCTTTTCTAGGGACCAACCCTTGCCATCTGTGTAAGTGTTGGACATTTCCTCAGAGCCGAGGCAGCATGGCACCAGGCCTGTATTCTCACACCTGCAGTTAACATGGTGGGAATTTCCCAAGCATATTTTAGAACAAGCCCTGGCCTTGAGGATTCTTGAGACCTTTCACATGGCCTGGGGTACAAGGCATCCCCAAGTTCCAAAGGCTGGAGCAGAGGAGAAGCCTTCTAGGGCACAAAGAGCAGACCGGCTGATAGAGGAAGTCTACTGTAGTCACTGTGCATGGTGGGCAGTCATGCTGGAAACTAGACAAGTCTTCAGGGACCAGAGAAAACAGGCATTCTTAGAAAGAGACTTTATTACCTAATTTCTGTATACAACAAATATAGGAAAAGAGTTTTCAATAAAGGTTTCATGTCACTTTCCAAAAGTTTTAAACTACTGGGAGAAAAGTTGTTAAAAAAGCATTCTAAGTCAAGAGACATATACAACCTTCAAAACAAATGGTACTAATTCTCTTGGTTTCTCACATTGAAAGCAAGGCATTTTAGACAACACAAGGAGGTTCTGTCCCAATTGCTACGTCATTTGCGTTGAGATTTTAAATACATAGAAGTGAAAAGTTTGAGTCCATGAATACAACTGATGCTGCTACCTCCTTCCAAGTCTCTAAGGCATGCTCATATGGACACATTTCCTGCCTTCCAGCACATCTCTGCATTTCTGGAAATTGGGGACAGGGAAGCCAGTGGGTCCCCTGTATTAAAGGACAGAACTCCTCCCACGGATCACATACACCTAACCATATTGCCTCCATTCCCTGCACTCCATATCCTTCGACAGTAAATCTGGCACTGTACGGCTGATATTATTGCTCACTGACATTTTAGCAATATATTTCTTTAACATAAGACAGAAATACAATGAAATTTGATACCACTTAAGCCCAAAAGGCAATCTGGAATTAAACTGAATGCACACATCTTTCTTTCTTTTTTCTTTCTTTCTTTCTTCCTTTCTTTTTTCTTTCAATGGCTATTACATATTTTTTAAAAGCTAGAAATGAAGGAAGAGCAACAGCCCCAAGTCTCTGGGGAAGGAAGAACTCTCAATTATCTTCTTTTTCTACTCCAACATTATGGCTCATATCCAAGGAAGCCTGGGGAAGCCACCACACTGATGGGAGTGGACAGAAAGGGCTATGTGTCTCTGAAGGGTGAATGCCACGTGAGACCCATGCCTGTCCTTAGCCACCCTACATGGGGTCATTGATGGTGTTGCAAAGACTCTTACAGTAGTCTGATGTCTTGTCTTAAATTTCCCTCTTGTTTCTAGAGAGGAACAAAGCCTGTGAAATCCAGAGTAGCCCTGGGCTTGGGGTGCAACATCTTGTTGGGCGGGAATTGATATGCAGATGACTTTTCCGTGTGTCCATGCTAGAAGCATGGACTTCTCTAGAACTGACAGTGAAGTCTCACCAGAAGCCAGGACCTCCAGGAGATACCTGGATGAGCCCAGAAGCTTCCAGAAATGGTGGTCTCAGCTTTACTTGTCACAGCTTTTTGTGCTCGCTTCCCATTGTGTCTACAACCGTCACATGTCTCTTCTCATCGTTTGTCTTGAGTGCTTATGAGGAAAGACACCAGTCTTCATAAAAAATTAGAAACATAAATATCTTTTAGAGGTGAATTTCAGGATAAGCATTCAAAATCACGCTTATTTGTGAGACATGATACTCACACCTGGTTACAATGCTGTTAGCATCTATCTCCCTTGTCCACCCTGTGAAAATCTCAGGCAACCATGCAGAGCCTCTCCAAGCAAAAACTGCCATATTGTTACAAGTAAAAAGTCTGACTTTCGGTCCATCTGTCTCCATATCAACCAACTGTGTCCACCTGTGCCTCTTCCTATTGAGGATGCCTGCTCTATGGCCCTTGAAGTGATTAGACTAGAGCAGTGTGACTTGAGAATACTGATCTTAATTGTATAGTGATATAGTAATTTTGCCCTGAGAGTATCAATATATTTTATAAATATATGAGTCCTATTGTGTACATGAAGATATAGGCACACTAAGGCTAAATGGCTTGTCCTTTGTACACACAGTGAAGCGTGGAACTTGGGCCTGACTATTCTGTCTAAATGCGCAATATCTTTCCACAGGCCTCCTGTTGTTATGTAGAAGTTTGGGTTAGGCGTGGTACCTGTAAGATCCTATTTTGCACAGCATGGGATTATTTAATACTCAAGACTTCAAGAAGACTTGGTCTTCTCTGATCTTTCTCTTTCCTACCACCTTGATGAAGTATGTTGTCCGTAATATTTTATTTTGCACTGGGGAATCTTCCAAAATGCTCACACAGATGTAGTTCTCATGAGGTGTGGAGAGAAATACTCACACAAAAGCAACAGAAAGACATTCTTCTTTGTGAACTTTGGACAGAAATGGGGTGCAGCATTTTACAGTTGTCTTACATTCCACTGTTTTCAATGAAAAATAATATAAAATAAAGACCTGCCCACGAGGTAATGTTTACGTCTCTGCGGCAACCCTCAGAGAGCCTCTCAGATCTGGTAACAATCTAACATAAGGAACGACTTTAGACCTTCACACCCTTTCAGTGAGAAAAAAACCTTAGCTCAGATTTTCCGCAGAGACTAGAAATCTAAGACATCACTCCATCTTTATCATAAGGCCACATGTCTGGGTGCCCTGCCTTCCCCAGCTCTGCTCCCTGTCCCGAGCACCAGCTCTCTGACTTCCCCTTAGGAGACCAAACAGCTTCTACCTCTTAGTCAAAGGAGGCTAACCCAGAACAAAACTGAAGGGATGTCTGAGTCGGAAGAAACAATGCCAAGGCTACTTAGAAGCTTGTGAAAGAACGCCACAGAGCTGTCTCCATTTGCAAGACCTACACACAGTTCTTTACCTAGTCAACAGTAGAATACATGGATGGGCAGAACATTTGGAGAGAGAGAGAGACAGAGAGAGAGAGAGAGAGAGAGAGAGAGAGAGAGAGAGAGAGAGAGAGAGAGAGAGAACAATTTCAATGGCATAAACTGCCCTTATAGCTTCTGAAAAAATAACTCTGTTAAGATAAACCATTTTTGTTTTTTTTTTCCATCAGCTGTGCATTGAGAACACTTTGTTTCCTCCACTCTCCCCGGTTCTACAGCTCTGCTCTGTCTGCCGATGCTGGGCTGCTGCTCTCTCTGCCACCGCCTCCTTCTGCCTCACTGCTGTCTGTGGGAGTGAAAGACAAGGAGGCCGAATTGATGCAGTATCTTTTGCCGGTCGGACGAGGTCCATCATCAAAGATGTGCCCAAGATGAGCACCACACTGCAAGAGAAAAATGATGTTTAAGGCACACACATGCAGAGTAGGTTCTGAAGGGCAGTTCGAGGGGATGGCTGGCCTGTGTAGGAATGATGGAAAGCATCCTGGACTATTTCTAATCTGTCTGTCAATAGCTGCTGAGATGGTTTTAGGCAGGCTTTGTACCACATGCCGAGAATAAAAAACACTGGAATTGTGCATATCAGAAATCATTTAGGAGCCACTGTATGTTTTGATCTATGAACTCTCTCAGCCAGCTGGAAAGACTGAAGTATTTTTTTAATTGAATTGACCCTTGATCTCCCCTTGTAACAAACATGTCAGAGTGAAATCTCTTCCCCCCTGGCATGACTTTGGCTTTGGATAGGTAGGTTTCAGATATGCAGAAGTCCACAGTAAAAGATACTGTTTAACTGGCCATGATAGAGGTGATGGTTGTTTGCATGGGCAGTAAAACTTAACATTAACAAATGATGTGCTTGGGACCCAATGAAGCAGTGGCAAGACTCTGGATATTTATGTCATGGTCACCAAAGCTGCAAATGTAGAAAGTGGAAAGTCCCCAGCCCACACAGTTGCTTTCTCTTAGCTTCCAATAGATGGATTGTTACGCCGCCCCCCCCCTCGCCACCCAAATAAACTAAATATGTGGAGAAGAAAGAGGCTATTTAGAGGCTATTCATCAAAACACCAAAGAAGGAGAGAGGCAGAATGAAGGACAGTTGTTGGGTCTAAAAGACTGGATGCAGTGGCTGGATGCAGTGGTTGGATGCAGTGGCTGGATGCAGTGGCTGGATGCAGTGGTTGGATGCAGTGGCTGGATGCAGTGGTTGGATGCAGTGGCTGGATGCAGTGGTTGGATGCAGTGGCTGGATGCAGTGGTTGGATGCAGTGGCTGGATGCAGTGGCTGGATGCAGTGGCTGGATGCAGTGGTTGGATGCAGTGGCTGGATGCAGTGGTTGGATGCAGTGGTTGGATGCAGTGGCTGGATGCAGTGGTTGGATGCAGTGGCTGGATGCAGTGGTTGGATGCAGTGGCTGGATGCAGTGGTTGGATGCAGTGGCTGGATGCAGTGGCTGGATGCAGTGGTTGGATGCAGTGGTTGGATGCAATGGCTGGATGCAGTGGCTGGATGCAGTGGTTGGATGCATGGCTGGATGCAGTGGTTGGATGCAGTGGCTGGATGCAGTGGTTGGATGCAGTGGTTGGATGCAGTGGTTGGATGCAGTGGCTGGATGCAGTGGCTGGATGCAGTGGCTGGATGCAGTGGTTGGATGCAGTGGTTGGATGCAGTGGCTGGATGCAGTGGTTGGATGCAGTGGCTGGATGCAGTGGCTGGATGCAGTGGTTGGATGCAGTGGCTGGATGCAGTGGTTGGATGCAGTGGCTGGATGCAGTGGTTGGATGCAGTGGCTGGATGCAGTGGCTGGATGCAGTGGCTGGATGCAGTGGCTGGATGCAGTGGCTGGATGCAGTGGCTGGATGCAGTGGCTGGATGCAGTGGTTGGATGCAGTGGCTGGATGCAGTGGCTGGATGCAGTGGCTGGATGCAGTGGATGGATTCAGCTTCTCCACAAAGGCTGGCTACTGAATAATACTTGTGCTAACTGTCTTGAAGCTGAGTATAGCGAAAGATGGTGATAGTCCCACATGCACACATCTCCCACTTCTTCTCAGAGGGACAGGGAGGTAATGGTGGTATCTGTGTACCATCTCCAACAGGCTGTGGAAACACAAAACTCAGCAGGCAGCAAAGAAGCCGATGGTTGGACTCAGTGTCTCCTCTGACTTGTTTAATTGGCAACTATAGAGTGCCCGTTATATTCCAGGTGTCGTAGTTTAAAAAGTAGTGTGACAGAGAGAGACGCCACGTGACAGAGGTCAATGTGGAGGTTTTTCTTTAATCAGGGGAAAAGTAATGGGAAAGGTAGGGAGGGAAGTGAAGGGAAGAGGAAGAAAGGGGAGGGGAAGATAGGCCTCTGGAGACAGGAGCCACAGAAGAGAAGAGATGGGTGGAGAGAGACCTAAAGACAGGCTGAGAAGCAGAGAGAGAGTGAGAGGAACAGACAGACAGAAAGAAAGAGAGAACGATGGGAGGTGGGCAGGATCCTTTTAAAAGGGAATGTAGTGAATGTGCACAGGTGGTGCTCTTAGATGCTGCAGCTGAGTGAGGGTGTATCCTGTCGGAACCCCAAGGGCAGGCCAGTACAGATGCCTGAATACTAACACCAGGCACTTTACTACACTCTGAAGATTCAGGCAACAAACCCTGGCCTCAGAGCACTTATCTGCCAGTAAGAAATGCAGACAATAAACAAGCCAGTGACCCAATAGAAATCAGTTAAGAAGAGAGGGGAAAGAGAAAGTATCAAGGTGTCTGGAGCCTCCTTGGTGGCTTTGGAAACACAAGTGAAGGAAGTGAGCAAGGTAGGAAAGAGTGAAGATTTAGGTGAATGTTCAGCAGAAGCAGCTTATACATGACTTTGCTATTCCTCCCACTGAGCTGTTCATAAAACACTTATAAACTAAGAGGGGCATATGAACCGAGGGGGCTGGGGTTAACCTGAAAGTGCAGATGGCGAGACAGAAAGCACGGAGGGTGCTTATCACAACAGAAATGCTTAGTCTCTCAGCGGTCCTCTGAAGGTGCTAAGTTCAACACAAACGGGTTCTCTAGTTACTAACAAACAGCACAATAGCAGTGCTGGCTCCATGGCACTTCCATGCTAAAGGTGCATCCTTACAGACGACACACTGTGTCCATTCATTAAAGAACAGAAAACAAACCCTGAACTGATTTGATCAATTGCCTGGAAAATATGAAACAGGCCTAAAGAACAAATATTGCATTATTTTTACCACTTTCTATGCAGGTTTAGGTGATATCAAAGACTACAGCTCAGATTGTTCTTCCTGTCTATAAACAACGGTGGCCAAATGTACAGGGATCAGCAGCTAAGATGTACTAAGAAAACTCCATATACTTGCCCTGTGGACACAGGAAAACGCTGATTTCTGCCTGCCAAAGCATTCAAAGAGTAGACCGACAGGAGTTAGTATTCTCAGGGACTGGTGCACAGTTACTGATCTCATGTGCAGATCTGGCCCTTTGATCACTCAGCATCTGAGAGGGGAAGCGTGCTTATAAAAGCCTGAGGTGGGGGGCGTGCGTGCATGCGTAAGTGCGTGCATGCGTAAGTGCATGCATGTGCGTGCGTGCGTGTGTGTGTGCGTGTGTGTGTGTGTGCGTGCATGAACACAGTGGTTATTGACAGAACATAGCTTGCTGGGCAAAATAAGCAATTCTGCTTCCATTCATTAATTGTCTTGTGAGGATCTGAGCATGCCTCCCTATCCAAAAAAAAAAAAAAGTGTGATAAGGATAGATTTGGAGCCAGTTAGAAGTTATGCAGTCTTCGCTTCCTACATCATTTTTCAGAAAACCAAATGACGATAATTCAATCTGTTGAACTAAGTTGATTTTTCAACTTAGTCCTTTTTTTTTACTAATTAAGAACTGGTTCTCTGACTAACCAGAAAGGGAAGTTCTGCCTCAAAATGTATCTCTGACACGGCTGAAAGAGAAAAGACACAGTTGGGAGACAACAGCTATCTGCAAGTAAAGGACAGCGATGGATGATGTCACGGCACATAGCACAAGACGCTCGCTCTAGAGCAGTGGTTCTGAACCTGTGGGTCACAGCCCCTTTTGGGGTGACATACCAGACATCCTGCATATCAGATATTTAAATCATGATTCATCACAGTAGCAAAGTTACAGTTACGATGTAGCAACAGAAATAGTTGTATGTGTGGGGGTCACCACAGCATGAGGCACCACATTCAAGTGCGGCAGTGTTAGGAAGGTTGAGAACCACTGCAGGGCTCACGCTAGGCCCCTGAGGGGAGCACAGGGGATCATGTCTATCTCTGTCACCACGTTGGTGCCTGCCGTTCACTGCCCGCTGTTTCTCAGGAAAGAGGAATCACACAGCAGGCTTCCGCGCAGGTCTCTGGGTCTGGGCTTAAGAGTACTCAAGACAAAGGGAGAGGGTGCACATGGAGCCCATTCCCTCCAGCTTCTAGCCAGGCCAGAGGCTGGGATGATGGATGGAAGTTGTCAGTGATGCATTGTTTCCTTAGCCGCCTTCGAGCTCTGGCTCCCTAGCCCCAGCCAATTGGCAATGCGTGCTGGGATCACTCAACACACCTGGTAGTAACTGAAACAAACCGGTTGCCTGATGAAGAAATCTCTGAAGCCTGCTGTTAGTGATTTCATCCCAGACAGAATCTCTCATGTGTGCTTTCAGAGTTCTCTTGGTGCCTGTGCCACTCTTTATTTCACGGGGAAACCCTACACCTGAGCCTTCGCTCCAAAGGTGCACATGGAAACAGTTCAAAGGGGAAAAACAGTTCTCACGGGAGCCCTTCCTGTAGGAAGGCTGTAGGCTTCCCTTCAGGAATGCTCAGGGAGGGAGCCTGCAGAGAACCCGGAGAAAGGGCATCCTAGACAAGAGACCAAGAACACAATTTGGCGTCCTTAAAGCCTCACTGCTGGTCTCAACCACGCGCCAAAGACACACAAACAGTGCATTCCCCACCGCGGTACAGCGCCACAGCCATGGATTTCACTGTCCTCGAGGCCTTTCTTGCCCTGCTCTAGGACGCTTGGGCTTTTTTTTTTTTTTTAACTGTCAGCTTCTCCGAAGTGTTTGATCTGCAGCATGAAGCACTTTCAAAGCTAGGCTTTTATACTTGGGCACGTAGGGAAAGAGAAAAGAGTTTTCAAAAGGGAAGCAATTTACTTTGCCATTTCATACTGTTCCCTCCCATGGTTCCTCAGGACACCTGTGTGCAAGTAGGGGCTGTTTCTCTGTGCTTGCAATATTAATCTTTTGTCAGGGAAATGGTTGGGAAGTCACCAGGTTAATACTATGCTTTTACTGAAAGATCAAGAAAAAGAGAGATGGACTGAGTCTGAAGCCCCGCTGTGACACATGGGTGTCTGAAGCCCCGCTGTGACACATGGGGCAATATAGGAGGTGTCATTTACAGAAGATTAATAAGGCTCGGGTTTTACTAAAAATTGCTTAACTTTTGAAACATTCTTCACATTTATGAATGGTTGATTTGGTTAGTAAGATAAATTAATAATGTTCTAAAACAAATTTAAAGGGTACTGAGATAGACTCCAGCAGTGATAGCAGCAGTAACAAAAAGACAACCACTTGAGTAAACTCGGATCTAATGGTTTCCTTCAAGATTATGAAACAAAGTGAAGTCATTTATTAGGCCTGCACTCACTCCAGATGGAGAATTCTGACCTGAGGTTTTTTCTGATATTGTCAGGAGAGCCTGACTTCACTGGACTATCTGTTGCTAACCATGAATGCTTACCTCTTTAAGCCCCTGGCAGAGAGCAGTTTACCAGCTGGCGGGTTGAAGAGACCGGGCCAGATAAGTACTCCTGGGGCCTTGGAACCAGAGGAGGAGCAATGCCTCCCTCTGCTTGAAGGCAAGGCCTTTTGAAGACAAGCGGCAGATGTGGAGGAGGTAGATATGAAGTATGGTGGGAACAGGCCCCTGCTAGCTGCCTATGACAGCAGGGAGGAGCTGTGGACGTTGCTGAACACCTTTTGTGAGAGCCACCTTATTCTGACATAGTGTCTTTGGTCATCTCAGGGCACCTTCATAGAGACCTTCCCTTAACTACTGCTGATGCTATCTCTCCTGGCAGGGATAGGCGGAATTAGACATAAACATCAGAAATTAGGGACGTGAGAGTTAATATCACCTGACTCAGTTTCCCTGTGCCTTAAAAAAATCTGTCTAGAGAACTTAGAACTTAAACTGTGTTACAAGCAAAAGGAAAGTAGGCATATGGATAGACTTTAAGGCAGCTTTTTAAAAAGAGGGAACCCCTGAGGTTGGTGAGATGGCTCATTTGGTAAAGTCATTTGCCCCCAAAGCCACAGGAAAATCTGGGTTCAATCCTTGGAACCACACATTGGAAGGAGAGAAGTGACAGAGAGAAGTGACTTTTTCAAGTTGCTCTCTGACCAACCCCCCCCACACACACAGGCTGTGTATATGTATTTGAAGGGGGTATGCATGCATACATGCATGTGTGTGCACAAGCATACACACACAAACAGACATATATATATATATATATATATATATATATATATATATATATGAGAGAGAGAGAGTTTACTAGGTACCATGTACCTACACCACAAAATTCAGAGTACCATCCTGCCTATAATATTATCTTTTGCCAACAATTTTAGATTCTTGAATAGACAACCTCAGTTGACTTCTGTGACAATTATTACATCATCAGTCGTAATTCAATGTAATTAAAAACCGAATCACACTAAAGCAAATGCTGGGGAATTGTGGAGTTTTTAAACATCTCTTACAACTTGGCCTTTTGTAGTGACCCCCCATACACACCCCTCTTTAATAGAGTATTCTGGAATCAGGTTACCTAAATGCAAATCTCAGCTCTGCCATTAAAGCTGCACAACTTTACTGGAGCAACTGCCTTCTCTGGACTCAGTTTCCCCAACTATAAAACGGGAGAATGAAGTTATTATGTACATTAACCAGAGGAACACTGGAAAATGATGCTGTGTAGGCAATACTCAGTACAACTAGAGTCTCTGGGGAGCAAACCCAGCACTAGGGAGTTCCGGTGTCATCTTACACCTATTTTTCAGAGTTGAGCAAACAGAAAATATGAGTTAAATAAATGAGGACTTACACTTTTCAAGGGAGTGGGGTATACTTGATAACCTGACTTTTTAACCAAGAATATATCCGTAGACTGTATCGTCTATATGTATGAAATTGTCAAAGAACAAATTTAGTAATAAGGAAACCCAGAAATTCATCAGATAATCAAGTTCAAACAAATATCCCGCCCTCTTGGCAGTAAAAAAACCTCACCTCTGTAAGAATCTTGCACCTACAGAAGGAGAGAAACCCAGTGAAGGACAGGCAGTGGAGTCCCAAGGAAAGCCACATGGTGGTCACTCTGCCCCTGCAGCTGCCCAGTGGTACCTTTCTTTACTCCATCTGTACAAGACCATCTTCCAACAAAGGAATCTTGGGTACCAGTAAATGTGAGAGTACCCCAGCCCTCAGAACCCTTCTTTCACTTGTTGGGCAGAATCAAACTGGTCTACTTACTGTAGAGTATGCCATGGCTTTCTCTGTATGGGCGTTTCAGCTATGTCTCTTGGTTAGCCACAAAATACCAGTCAGTTTCAGCCTCTCAACACATTAACTACTGTCATTTCCCCCTCAAAACATTTCTACTTTCTTCTGTAGAAGCAGCATTAATTTGGGTACAGACGAACAGGGCAGAACTAAATAGCATCCTTGGAAACATGGACAAATACATACATCAACACAAAATCAGAAAGTGTTGCCTTAGCTTGCACCCCCTTTGACTAGCCTACCACTGAACCTCCATTTCCAATGGCTTCTCTCCAACCTCTACCCAGGAAAAGCCACGTCTGAGATCTTCCTGGACTGTATTTGGATTGCAGCCATAAGACATTATGATAATAGAACACTGCAGAAGAAAAGCTATCATTGCATCAGTCTATGCAAGGCTATTTAATGAAATCATGATAGACCCTGCAAATGCCCATTCACCACTATAGTAGGTCAAATGAAAAAGAAATCCCCCTACCTACCAACCAATGACTATTTAACATTGTTAAAGCTACTGACTGGCAGTGTTAGTCATTCAGCCTCTTAAAAGGATCCAGCCTATTTGTCTGTCCCTCTTGTGAACAGTTCTTTGGCCTTGTCACTATATGTATGTATAAGAAGAGACTTGGGAAGCATTTGCAGCATAGAGTGATCCCCATAACTGGGAATGTGGGGGGGTCAACTCACCTGAGAACAGCTTGTCTCTACCCTGTGCATCCCATAGGAAAAATCGTCCGTGAACTCGATGGCCTCAGAGCTGATCACATCATGAAAAGAAGGCCAACCTGGAGTAAAACAGGCACATGGACCACAAGGGAGGAGACAAAACCTCTGGTTAGATGTGAATCTCAGGGACGATGAAGCAGATGAGGCAAAGCCTTAGCTGTGACTAATGCCAGGCTTCTTTAACCTGGAAGAAAGGGTCAAAGCCCAACAGGAGAGTTGCATAGATGTTTAACCCTTTCCTCACACGGAGACAACAGCTGAGCTGAGCTAGTGTGCATTTCTGGGACAGCCTTGGATCCACTGACAGTTTCTGAGAGCATTCCAAGATTTCACAAGCTCTCTGTCACTACTTTCTCTTGTCTTCAGAATCATGACTTAGATGCACTGCTAATTTCCCATTGGGGCACTTTCCAAAACAACCAATTGATTTGGATATTAACTCTCCAGCTATTCCACACTTCTTTAGAAAATCATGCTTTTCAGTTCCAGCTTTACATGGTTAAAATAAAGAGGATGGCTATCCTGTTAACTATCTCCATCTAATTTCTTTCCTAGTCTAAAGTGTATCTGGTACACAGGCTGTATCTTGTGGGTGAACAACACTTCCTAGGAAAAGCATGCCCAGGCATCTAGAGATAGCACTATTTCTCAAACAGCATCTTTCCTTCCAATTTTCATGCATTCTAATCATTTTTTAACAGCCACATTTTAAGAAACTCTTGGTGAGCAGAGCACACTTGGAATACAGGGTTGGGTTTATTTGTTTTTGTTTTTGTAACATTTCTTCCAAAGACGTGTGAGGCCCTGATGTCTGGTGAGGAAAGAGGTTGGGAGGCCGCCTAGCTGCTGGTGTTAATTGTTGTTTTCTCTTTCAGGGGTCTTTTGTTCCCACAGAAAGGAAGCGATACTCAAACACTGAAAGAAAACAGTATGCAGACCCCAGCAGTAGGATTTTTCCTCTGAAATTTGCCCAAACTCCTCATAACCGGACCCCCCATGAGTGCGGGCTGCTTTACAGTCATTGCTAAACTTAACAGCATGAGCCAAAGCACTTCAGTTCCTTTATGTGAACTCGGGGCTCCTAACTACCAGGAAAGCCTAAGCCTGAACATCCTGTAGCTTCACTCTTCACTGCTGTAAGTAACTCATTACTCAGTACACTCGGAACTCTGAAAAGACCCCAACCGTATGCTAGGCTGCACTGTGTGCTTTTGCAATGGCTGTTTCACGCATTTAGGTGTTCTTTGTTAAATCACCAAAGTGCCAATTGCTAGCGATGGTAAATTTCATGGTGACACTTAAGGACAGTGATAAATGAAGTCATTTATCTAGGAAAAGAAAGAAAATGCGGTGGGTTAGCCTTTTTAAACCTTCCATGGCAGAACACATTTGAAAGTAGTTTAAGGTACCTGATACCAGTATGGGAGGCAGTGGGGGTGGGGGGAGGTTAGAGTCATTGGGACTTGACTCAGTAGCCCAGAGATAAAAGATGAGATTCCACAGTTTCCTGTTTCCAAAAGGCAAGACAGGAATTGAGCACGGATGTGTGCCCCACCCCACCCCCACGCCACTCTACTTCTTACAGTCTCATCGTTTCTATTTATCTGCTCCTGAGATTGGCCAGCATTGCTCCATGTCTTCCTCCTGACTAGGAGGTCAGTGCTTGGCGGCAGCCTAAACTCATGGCCTCACAGTGGCACAGATCAGAGGGCAGCATGGGCACTTTGCGCACTAGTTTCCAGGAAGCATACAGCAAAGGAGTAAATGGGTAAAACACGGAACACGTGTGTGTGTGTGTGTGTGTGTGTGTGTGTGTGTGTGTGTTCATAGGCCTCTTCAATGTGCTTTAATAATAATACATATATTCTCTCCTCACACACACACACTAGCTCTCTCTCTCTCTCTCTCTCTCTCTCTCTCTCTCTCTCTCTCTCTCTCTCTCTCTCTCCTTTCTAACACAGGGAGATACCCAACTTAGTTCACTCACTGCACAGGCAGGGACCTGCTTCATTATGTACATGGAACAGAAGAACTTTTTGGGGAGAGAGCAGAGGATACTGAAGTGGCGAGTACCAGAACCAATGCTAGAATCTGATAGCTTGGCTTTAGCCTGGGACTCCCTTCTCACACCCCTTATTCCTTTATACAAGGTTGAGAGGTCTTTCATTCAAATATACTACAAGGGAAGAGGCTGCAAGCTTTAAGGAACTGGATTAATGTCTCATGTAGATAGGCTGACCATGACATGGACTTTGCCTCGGGAAGCTGATAGCGAATGAATAATAAATTTTGACTAATAGTCAAAAACTACTCAAAGGGAAAAATCCAAAAGCCATAATGTGAGAGGATCTAGCATGAAAGCTATATAAATTTGTATTCGTTTATTTAAACCACCACAAAGACAGAGCAAAAACTCACCCTTAGGCAGTAGTGATGAGGAAACTTAATTATATTTGAGTATCTCAATTCAAGTGATCTGGTTGGCCATAAAGATATGCATTTTTAATGCTCACAGAATTTTTCAGAAGACCATATTTGAGAACAGAGCATGGCAAGAAGGGTAAAATGACACGGAGGCTCTCAGAGAAATTGTTGGGAAACGAATGTTTGAATAGTTCATTTATTGTTTACTATGTTATTCACATTGGAGGAGACACTGAAAATAAATCCATAAAGACATTTCACTACTCCTCCCACTGACAGTGTCCTTGTGCACTGTGGAAGAGAGGCAGCTCTAACAATCAGATGTTCAGTGTGTTGTTCAAATGTTAACCAGGGGAAAGTGACGGGAGAAGCAATTCCTGCAATAGAGCACACTTGTAAAGAGGATGGTGGCTACCATCACTACGAAGGCTAACAAAGGAAAGCACCAGCTGTTCTGTTGTGTCTTTCTGAGAAGTGCATTGCCCCAGAAAGCAAATCCATCGGAAAGTTACCTACGTCCTTGCCGACAATCAAGCTAAGAAGGACCATCACCCAGGAATAAATTGTCCTATGACAGGGAACCCATAGTGATGACAGCACTTTGAAAGCGGAATTCCCTCGTCATGTGAAAGTATTTAAAGGAGGAGCTCTTCAACTGCTGTAAAAATCCTCAAAGGGAGCCCTGCCCCCACTGCTAATAACAAGGAAAGTGCTTCAAAGGGCGATAGGCAAGGGCTGAAGCAATCTGCGCCTTGTTGGGAAAATTATCTTGAGCGAAAGGGAGGGGGGGAGGGAATTGTGTTTATGTCAGTTTTGACATTAAAGAAACATCATCTCTCCTCCTTTCTCTAGGCCTTTCCTTTTGGTCTTCTCATCCAACAAAACATCATTTGTTTTGGATGCGTTCCATGCACTTTTAAAAAGAAAAGTCATGTGAAAACCTGTATAAACAGTGGGCTCCCTCCACCCCCACCCCCGTCCGCCCCTTTGTTTCTATTTGATGAGGTTGGATGTGGGCCTATTATCATTTCATTTCAAAGAACATACACTGTACTTTTTAGATCGCAGCCTATGAGTGTCAAGAATGTCTTATCTTTAATAAACATATTCTCCCCTGGAGGACTTCTCATCTCAAGATAGTAAACAAACATAGGGACTACAAGGAAAACAGACAACTCAAAATACAACGGGTCTGCCTTGATTTCAGGCCACATTATCTGCAGTTGTATCTTAATTCTTCTTGTATATAAAAGGGGCAAACTCAGGACATGCTCATTGACATCTCTGACCCAAAGCAAGTGATCCAGATGATTATCACTAAGTTTTGCCTTGGTAGTTACTATCTACACTCCAGCAGATGTTTTAAATGACAATAAAACTTCTTATTCCACCCGCATCCATGATGCTGCTCCATTCAGTTCTTCTAAGTCTATTCCACCTGCAACCCAACGGTAGCCTGGTACTCCTCCAGCACTGTGGACAGCTTAGAGTTTTCACTTCAATTACCTCCTAGGAAAAACCTCCTCAGTTTCCCAGGCCCATCTGCTCCTCTTTCCCTTCAAAGAGTTTTTTTTTAAAAAACTAACTTAAAATTAGCCACAGGTTATAAACAAGCTGAACGTGATTCCATCTGTACCATGTCCACAAAGTGTGACCCTTAGTCTCCTCTCTTAACGTGAGTGAGCATGCAGAGACCACCTCCCCTGCATTCTTCTCTTACTCCTAAACCAGTGTTCGATCTCAGAAAGGTGGCTACATGACCAGTCAGTACACAACACTAGAAACCTGAACAAGAATTTGTTGAATTGAAAGCCAATTCCAAAAACATTATCTGAAGGTAGACTAATCCTGAGCACACTAAATTCCAGTTGGGCTTGGGCAATATTTAGTAATGACAACTTTTATTTGGGCACAATTTTGGTGAAGAGTCATATTTTTAGTGTCCACCAGGTCTCACAGCTCTATAAGTCTAAATAATTCAAAATTTGTAGGTTTGGGGGTTTCTATAGCCTGAATCTGTTCACCTCCCTGGCCACAATTTACCTTCTTTGTTAGACCAAGACAAACAATAACAGGCCTCCCGCTGACAAGAATTGTTTGAGGCTTAGGTCCCTAATCCTTGCCAAATTATTCACTAGAACTGACATTTCCAGTGTAACTTTTATCTCATTTTTTTAAAAGGATGACTCTCAACTCTCCTTCAAAGATCCCATTTGGTTGCAATCTAGTCTTCCAAAAGTATTAGTAATCAACGGAATAGATACATGTAGGAGAAAATCACAACACAGATGGCTCATCATGAAATGTTTCCTTTCAATCTCCTACCTACCTACAAGCAACCATGATTGATAGTTTTCCTGTTTAGCTCTTTTTCTAAAGGTGCTTATTGTAATATCTCTTGATTTGCCTACTTCAAACCCGTGTTGTTCAAAACAGTAGCTTCTAGCCACTTCAAGACAGCCACCTGTCAAGTTCTCAACAATCAAACATGACAGACGATAGCTGTTACATGGACAGCACAGACATACACAGAGCATTCTTATTGTGATTTCCACAGTACAGAAGACTTCTACCACTAGACAATGCCATTTTAGATGTTTTGAATTGATTTCTACTATGAAAGATACAGACTTAG